AAAATAAAAAATTTTTAAGCACAAAAATATAATTTTAAACAAAGGATAATTTTGTCTGATATACTTTTTCTTGGAACAGTGAATAAAGCAAATTAACAACCAGAACGCATTGTGGATAAAGTATGTCACCCACAACGCGAAATAAGCTTTTGTTTTGCTTTGTGGAATATTTCTTTTGTCTACGTCGCATTCTGGTTATTGCGTTTTACCCCAAATGCGTTGTAAGTGGACTGCTTGTTATTAGTTTCAACGAGACGCTAGTGGCAAGATATACTTAGTAAGTATAAGTGCTAGCAGTGAATTATCATATGCCAAAGAGTCATGTTGTCTTCTGGGTCTAAGCAAGGATTTGTTCGATGTAATAGCCTGAAAGGATGTCAAACGAAGGCATGTGCATGCATAAAATTAAATACAAAATGTAATTCAAAATGTCACAAAAGCAATTCTTGTAAAAACAAATAATTTTTGTTTTTCTAGCTCTTGCTTCCCTATTTTTAGATTTCTTTACGTCTATTTGTTTATTATATAATATATATATCCTATGATACCTACGTTTAAATAAACACTTTATTATTTTTGTATTCACTGTTTTATTCAAAATAAGTTCTTGGTAAAGCGCATTAGCAAGGACACGACTTGGGCAAAACAAATGGTCCACAAGCCAAAACAAAAGCACGAACACTTATTTTGCATTGTGAGTGACATACGTTACCCACAACGCGTTCTGGTTAATTTATTTTACTTACTGTTCGAAGAAAAAGTCTCTAAACAAATTGTGAGCAAATTACCATACACATAATGCGTTTCGGATTAAAAAATCGGAGAGTGGGCGATTTCTGCTATCGAATAACATGTGGGACATATGGAGGCTATCGTGGACCTTTAGGAAGACAAATTTGTTTTCTTAAATTTTATTGTGAAAACTGAAATTTTTGTAAACTTTTATTCAAAATTGTCATACCCCACCGTTGGATATACTAACATCTAAACGTAATTGTGAAATCTCATAATTCTTGATTTATACATTTCAAACATCTTTATGCAAATCGATCAACTAAAAACTAAAGGAACTGGTCACATATCCGGCCATTCTCATTTCGTCCAATTAATATTGGCCATGTTTTTTGTCTGTTGTCATGTCACATCATGGAGAATAGTATAATGTAGTTCAGCTAAATTCATTGTCGTAGTTCACTGATAGTAACATTCACAAAGGCGGTGCTTTTAATTAAAAATATTTTCTATTAAAAAGTTTAAATTATTTCAAAAAATACTTCAAATGTTTCAGATTAGTAAATATTTTTAGTTATTTTTTATGTATATTTTCTAAAACAACAAAAATATGTCAAAACATAAATTTGATTTTTTTCTCTAATTAGGTTTTTCTTGATTTTAGAGGCATAAGATACAACTAAAGACTAAGATAATGTCTAATATATATATTTTTTTCCAAAATAGGTCCTGTTTGCTTTTATACCAGAAGAGTGGTTCAAATTTTTCATCCCCAAAACTGGCGTAAGTGGTTTTGGCACTTTTCTCTTCACATTTGGTATATTCCTGATTAGCAAAGAATATTACGTCCTAGAACACAATTATTACAATGGCCTTGGAGTGATATGTGTTTGGTGGGGTGCCATTAAATACGTTGGTCCCCACCTAACTAAGTACTTAGACAAAGAAATTGACAATTATGAAAAGGCTTGGCAGCAGGGCAGGGACGACAGTAAGGCATTATTGGAGGAGCAGATTCAAGAGGAAAAGCAGATGCAGTTCCAAGCAGATGGCCAGCTCTTATTGATGGAAGCGAAAAGAGAGAATGTACATTTGCAGCTAGAAGAGGAATTCCGATTGAGACAGATGATCGTTTACCGAGAAGTTCTGAATCGGTTGAATTACCAGGTAGTGGTGGCTGGAGTTCATAAGAAGATTTTTCATAAAAATCTCATCGATTATGTAACTAAGGAGGTGAAGAAGGCGATTACTCCAGACATGGAAAAACAGGTGGTTAATGTATCTATTGAGCATCTTGTATCAGAACTTGAGAAAAGTGATAATAAACGTTAGAACTTTATTTGTACATGTTTCATTTACCTTTATTTACCCTCTGCAATAAATAAATTGATCCTGGTCTTGGCGTCTGACAACGGATGTCCCTATCGTAAAGTTCGGTGTACTTACTCAGAATGTTTTGACGTACAAACGCTATATGTGTTGTTTAGTGTGGTTTTGGTAAAAAAATTGAATGAAGTCAAGAACATTTCCCTGCGATTATTTTTTACAACTTTTGAGGTAGATTATCTCAACAATAGTGCATTGATGAGCTTAATTCGACTTTTGGTGAAGAAGCACCATCGAAAACCACTGTATATCGGAGGTATACGGAATTCAATCGTGACCGTGGTTGACTGACAAATTTTGTGAAGATCATCCATCCTTGGGCATTAGTAGGACCAACATACTGTATGAATATTTGGCCGCCAAAAAAATTCGTTCACGTTAGATTCCACATTATTTGACAAAAAATGGCTCATCATGATAGGTCAAAAGAAATGCTCAAGAAATACATTGGCGGTGCTTCAAAACACGTCTATGACATCGTAACACGTGATGAATCATGGATCTGTGCATATAAGTCCAAAAGTAAATAGCAGTCGACTTTATGGGTCTCTCAAGAAGAGTTAAATCCAACAAAAGTTCATGCACAACAGGGCCGGATTAAGGGTGGGCTACGGGGCTGTAGCCCCGGGCTTCACGAGATGGGGAGCCTCGGCAAGATCTGGCAAAAGGAATATTAGCTTTTTTTAGAATCAAACCAAAAAGTATTTAGGTTTTGAAATTTTATATGGACAAGTTGCTGACGGCTTTTTTTTTTCTTCTTATATTAGAAAGAGGGCCTGCGTAGAGATTGTAGCCCGGGTTCTCACCATATAGGCCAGGAAATATAGAGTTGGACGTGACTTTTTGTTTCGGCAAACTGAATTTATCACTGTAGATGCTAAATATTATGTACAATAACATATTGGTTTCCAAAGTCATAAAAATGAGGGGAAGATTGTTTACAGGGTGGTTAATTGTATAATTTTTACGTAAATTCACATTTTTCGCTTATAACTTTTTTCCGTTCATTTCCACGAGATATCAGTAAAGTAGGTATTTTTTTTTTCGTCTTCAAAAGACCTACAAAATTAGCCCTCGAGCGTCAAAAAATATTGATTAGATCAAAAGTTATAAACAGAAGTTTATTTATGACTTTTGAATTAAACATTTATAAACTGCGTTATTATTACCAGAACGTTTTGGCATCGCATCCTCTCATTCCTTATCACTGTCTAATAACTCACACGAAATCTGGAATTGGTAAGTTGAATAGTTTACAAGTTATGGTTATTAACTAATTATTAGTCTGGACGATCTCAAGCATCTTCCACAATCGCACTCTTTTTTTTTGGTAGATTACATAATATTAAAATCTATCATTTTTTTTTTTTTTTCAAATTTGCAACCTGGAAATTTTGTTCATTTTTTAGCCTTAGTTGCAAAATGAAATATACGACGCACGCTCGTTATATAATTATATATTCGGAAAGCTTATGAAAAGAGCTTTAAGTTAAAAAAAAAACTGTCAAAGTTGACGGCCTATGGTTAAACAAATTAGGTTGGTAGCGGCAAAAAAAATTACTGTCATAACCGGCAATCCGAGTACTTTCTCAGATAAAAATATTTTATTTGTGGAAGTATGTTAAGTGCATAAGAAATATTGTTAAGTCAGTGGGTCGCTTGATTTTTCGGAGAGCTGTGGCGCGGCGGAAAGGTGGGGGAAGCGAATGACAGCGAGTCCGAAGAAAATGATGATAATATTCATACTCCTGCCGTTAAAATAGTGAAATTCGTTTGAAAATAACATATTTGACAGTGTAACTCCCTTGTTTTTAAACGAATCTTGATTTTTTTTTAATTTAAAGCTCTTCATAAGCTTTCCGAATATGTAATAGTATATAACATCACGCGCGTGCGTCGTATATTTCATTTTACAACCAAGGCTAAAAAATAAAATAAAAATCCACGTTGCAAATTTGAAATTAAAAAAAAAATGAGATTTCAATGTACTATTATGAAATCTAAAATGAAAAAAATCAGTGCGATTGTGGAAGATGCTCGGGACCGTTCAGACTAATAATTAGCTAATTTGTTTATAAGGCCATAACTTGTAAACTATTCAACTTACCGATCCCAGATTTCGTGTGAGTTATTAGACAGTGATAAGGAATGAGAGGATGCGATGACAAAACGTTCTGGTAATAATAACACAGTTTATAAATGTTTAATTCAACTCTTTTTCCTGGCCTACATACGTTAATCCGGCCCTGGCACACAAAACAAATGGTCACCTGCTTTTTCGAAAAAACAGAACATGTAACTGTACTATTAGTGCAATGTCGGACAGTCAATTATTTTGAATAAGGGAAACTAACCGTAAAAGACACATCATTCTCCACCAGGACAAAACGAGCTCTCACATGTCGACTTAAACAAGACTTTAAGTACTGAAAAAGTCGAATTGATAAGTCATCTGCCATACAGCCCTGATTTGGTACCCAATGACTTTATTCCTACGCACTAAAAATAAATTAGGTCAACGTTTCTCAACACTTGAAGAAGCATTTGATGTGTTCAAAATGCATTTTTTGGAGGTACCTCAATCGGAATGAAAAAAGTGCTTCGAAAATTAGTTTGAACACATACAAAAGTCTATTGATCTTCAAGCAAAATATTTTAAAAAACAATAAAGCCGATGATTAATTTTTTGCTGTCTATTCCCGAAATATAAAAGGCAACCCTCGTCCTAATTGAATGAAAATTTTTGTTATGGTGAAAATCCTATTCAGAGCACTAAATATCATTAAATCATTCCAATTTTCCTGTCAATGTATTTTTTTTCTTTTTTGTAGAATAAAACACGAATGAAAAATAATAATTTATGATGTATTATAAATAGTAAATAAGTTCCTACAATAACAAATAAAAGCTACGGAGAAACATAGACTTCAGTAGAAAAATTAATTAATAATATATTATCTAAAACAAAAAAAAATTTTCATAATACATGGACCTACGTTTCGGTGGGCTATATAAATTGTAAAAATAATTTATATATTACGTATAAAATATGTAATACTATCATTTGGTACGGCGCTTTTTTGATTTGGGTTGCTCTTCTGGATCACTTTCCATCTCCTCGGGTAATTTCAGACCTAACTCTTTTGCTTTCTTTTCGAAAAATTTGAGTAACCTCACCCCACATCTAAAAAAAAAAATCTGCGTTTGCAAAAATTTTCTACATTTTTGATGTCTATAAATTATATTACTTGTTTATTGGCAATTTTTTTTTAATGGAACAACATACACAAAGTGTGCCACTTACTGATGTTTCCTTAGAAATTAAAAAAATGTGTGCTAAATTGCCACTAGCCATAGGCGGAAGTCAGTTATCTTTATATTTGTGTGCGAAGAAATTTTGATACTGCACACAAAAAATAATAAATTTTGAAAATTTTTTTTGTCTTATCCAATAATCATCACCAACGTATTTAAGATATAAATAAATTCATTATAACTTTCATTAAAAATTTGTTTACTGAGTAATGTTATTATGGTTATTGAAGCATATATACATATCCAAAAAACATTATATGTAGTTGGAAATAGCTTACCGTTAATGCAGTTTGTTATTATTGAATGGCTGTTTAATTTGGAAGCAGGTTCTCTAAAGACACATGAAATACAGTCAAACAGCAAAGTATGTCTGTCATGTCTATATAAGAAGTATTTAATAATGTGTACACCAACATAAAAAACCATATCCAACAGACATCCAGTCTTTATATTTTAAATTAATTAAAAATAAATTATTTCTACCATATTATTGTAATAATGGAATGATAAATAAACTATTTTTATACCGGGTGGAGCATTTATTGTGAGACAAAATAATATCTCGGTTGGACTCGATTATTTCGAAAAGTTTCAGATAAAAATTGTATGGCACCAAGGGGGCCATTACGACTTCTGGTCTAGACCAGAAGTAGTGTTTTTAGATGGGAAGTTGAATTTTTTAAATGGAAACACCCATTTTCTACCACGGATTTGGATTGGAAAATGAAAAAAATACTTTTTGTTCTAATTATTTTTTCAATTTAACCCATATTTTGACCATGGCCATAAAAAAACAAAAAAAGCAAGATCTTGAGACAACGGTGTACCTTGTTAGGATAGCTTTTTTAAAAAATTGTTTCATACTAAAGTTGTAGGGTGAAAAGGGGGCGGGGGGGCTATCTTGACATGACCTTGAAAATTTGGGAGAGGCGAGGGGACTCACCGAAACATGCACCCTGATGGTGAGAGGTGAGGGAACTCACCAAAAACAAGCACCGCGAAGGGAATAAAAAACTACTACTTCTACGTCGTTACTCCTGGGTAGTGCTAAATGTAGTTAATAATTATACAGTTTTTTGACCTTAAAATGACCTTGATATCTGATCTTGTTCTTGAGGTGAAATTCATATCGATTGTAAAACTTCCCACTCTTGTAATTTTCTAGGTCAAAAAAGAGGGTCTCATTTAAAATTTTGAATTTGATCTCCAAACGACCTTGTAGTCAAGGCCAAGGTTATTTTCAAGGTCATGTCAAGATAGCCCCCTTTTCACTCCTACAACTTTTGTATGAAACATTTTTTAAAAAAGAAAAAAGTGATCCCAAGAAGGTACTCCGTTGTCTAAAGATTCTTGTGTTTTTTAGTTTTTTATGGCCATTTGATCAAAATGTGGCTTAAATCGAAAAATAAGTTTTTTTTCGTTTTCCAATCGAAATCTGTGGTAAAAAATAGGTTTCCATTTAAAAAAATCAAGTCGTAATATGGACCTTTCAATGGCTCCCTCGGTGCCCTACAATTTTTGTCTGAAACTTTTTTCGATATAATCGAGTCCAACAAAGATATTATTTTGTATCAAGATAATTGCCAGTATATTTGAGAAATAAATTAAAATAATAGGACATTGAATAAGTTCTCTGTTTTCCAAAAGATAGCATTGTCAGAACTCCAAGCCTGAAGATCAAGATCACCTATAAAGAAGAATAAGCAATGCAGTAAACTACTTTTTTCAGTTTTCAGTTTTTTTTTCACATGTCGAATTACGTGCTGAAAAGAATATTTGCAGGGAATTTTACTAAACTACTTTATTCGTAGAAATGTGCAGCTGAAACACACAGAATTCTTGTTGCAACTTACAACGACCATACTCTATCGCAAACAACATGCAGATTGGTTTCAAAAATAATTATTTTGGTGTTGAAGATAAAGAACTCTCTGACACACCAGAACAGTTTGAGGTTGAAGAATTGGAAGCATTACTTCATGAAGATTCATGTCAGATGCTAGTTGAACTTGCAGAATCATTAGGAAAACGTTTAAATAATGAAGAATGATTCAAAAGCAAGGACATTGGGTGTCGTAATCGTAATCCTAAACATAGAAAATTGTGGGGCAAGTTGACCATGCATCAACATCGTCGGTAAAACTGAACATCCTTGGTTCCAAGCTTCTGCTCTGCATTTGGTGGGATTGGCTGGATGTAGTTTATTATAAGCTGCTCAAACCGAATGAAACCATCACGAGAGATCGCTATCGACTACAATTTATGTGGTTGAAGGAGAATGAAAGAGAAAACAGGGGTTATATCATCAGAGACACGACAAAGTGATTTTGCGCATGACAACACTCGGTCACATGTTGTAAAATGAATGAAAACCTATTTGAAAATGCTTAAATGGGAAGTCCTACCCTACCCACCATATTCTCCAGACATTGCCCTTTCCAATTATTGATGGCACTTGGCCTGGCTGAACAGCACTTCCATTCTTATTAAGATGTCAAAAAGTGGGTTCTCTTGGATAGTCTCAAAAGATGTATCATTTTTTCCGTGGAATTAAAATTCTACCCGAAAGATGGGAAAATGTAGTGGCTTTTTAAAAAAGCATTAATTTTCATGAAAAAACAGTGAGAACTTATTCAATATTCCATTATATACGTATTGTTGCGGTAAAGCCATAAATTAATGAGTCAAAAAATTCTTAGCGGATTTCAGAAAATAATTGGTTGTACTTTCACTTATTTTGCAAATTATGAAAATAGTTCTCATCGAGTTCATCTAATATAACGCTTTTTAAATACGAATAATCACAATGATTGAAATTTGAAAAAGATACAAGAAACCTGAGATGTGTAATAATTTTTTAACTGAATTATGTGTCGCTAAAAATAGTGATCATATCCAATAATTTTCGTGAAAGAACATTCACTTACAAGTTTCTGAAATGCATTTAACATTATTTCATTATTTTTTTATCAAATTTTTATTGAAAATACGTTAGTGAGGTACACAATTGTGAGAGAAAATTTACACCATTATAACAACACCCTGTATAACAAGGTTAATTCTTTTCACAATAGTTTTATTGTTAATGCTATACCAAACTTTAAATCCAAATCCCGAAAAATGTTTGTTGGCAGAAGAATGGCAACTACCAGTAAATTAATATCACCACAATTACTGTGATATGTATAAAACCCCATATTGTCTTAAAGGAAATTTTGCATAGATTTCAATTTTGCAAAAATATACATTGTTCCATTTAAAAAAATGTGTTTGTGCCCGCTTTTCAATATAGAACATCTTGTAGTTGATATTAAAAAATGACGCTTTCAATTTACACCCCCCGTATATAATTTTAATAATATTTTATTTAAGTTAAGTAGCTGGAAGTTTGCAATCTAAATTTCTAAGTGGCACCTACTTGTACACTTCAGCATCTGAGTGATTATACGTATTGCAATTTTCAAAAATTAGTACGGCATCTTGCATTAACTGACTATCCTCATTATACTCTCCCATGTTTAGCTTGTACTTTATTGTTCCGAAATCCATCGGTCTTGTAATAACGTCGTAATAATCAGGTACCTAGAAGGAAGGAAGTTCAAATGAGCATAATTCCTTTCAAAGTTCAAAGTGCACGAAAAGTACCTCATTTTTTTGAACAGGTCTGAGGAAGGCCCAAGCGTCTTTGTGCTTCATGACTTCGGACAGCAGTTCCTGTAAGGCAGCGTTATGTAATGGTAAGTCACCCCGACCCTCCTCCCTCCGGTGAGATCTTCGACTATGTACAACCTCGTCACCAGAATCTGGAAACCACAAAACATCAGAATGGACCACAAACTACATATTGTTTTAAGCGGTGCCAGCACTAAATGATAGAGAATGCAACAAACGGATTGATTTTTTTTTAATGCAAAATGTAGATATCAACATATACATAATGGTTGAGTTGAGGATTAATTTGAGATACAACGGCATGTGTATGTAAAACCAAAACCAAGAACAGAGGAGTGTTCCTGTCAACAGGGAAACAGGAACAAAATATCCAGGGAACATTTTCACTCTAGATTTCATCATTCTTAATTTTGTTCTTAATGAGTACAACCTAAGTATTTCAATTCTAATTTTTTTTGTGGTTTTGCTCAATAATATTACAGTAGAACCTCGCTAATCCGTCCCCTTCGGGACCAGGAGCATGGTCGGAACGCAAAAAAGGTTGGATTATCAGTATGTTCAACTGTACTGTCTGAAATATTGTTCCATGTTAAACCAACAAAAAACGTGAAAGAAACAATGTGAGTGAAAGTTATTGATCAAGTTAGAAACAAGTTATTTGTTACTAAAACTTATCAAACTATGTACCACATCTATCAACGGTCAACTGCCTACTGATCAGTCATATCAAGACCCGACTCTAGCATTGGTCCGTATAGGTAAAGTAGATAATCGAACACCATAAATGGGATGGTCGAATTAGCGAGGTTCTACTGTAATAGTAATATATTCTCAAGAAATAGAATAGTACTCTTACAAATGTTACCAATGAGAATCAAGTATAGTGCTACAGACATTGGCAAATTTGCATTTGCATTCATAAAATTGATTATCTACTTACGATGTAGGGTTTGTTAAAATATTAAACCATCAATGAGTAGTTGCAAATATTAGAAATAAAAAAAATATATAAACAGAATGCAATAAGAAACCAATTAACATACATACAATTAAAAATTAGATAAAAACAATTTACAAATATGTAGAAAAGGAAATAAAAAAATCTAAGTGTTTAAAATAAATGTTGGCCATTGATAAGAATTATATACATAATTACTTCTGTGCACAAAGACATGAAACGAGCCACTTCCTCTAGAAGCTTAGGAGGAACATGAAATTCAATTCTATCAGTATTGAGGGGTTTAGATGCAACTCACATTATCCATAATTTTTCGAAATAGAGTTAGTGACGCTATCTTGTTCATCGTGTTGAACTACACCATTTTAAAGTTTAGAAGTGGTACAAACTCACATTTTCGTATTTATTTAATTGTGGAATCTGTGAATTGTTTCAAAAGTCACATTCTCCTACAATCTGAAGTTGCCAAAACTCACATTATCCATATCCACCAAGGAAAAACTTAAGGAGGTTTATCGGGTATGGAGGTACGTCTAAAGTCTAACAAAAGTTTCTGTAGATTCGCTAGTGACTAAAGTGGTAAGCCTTTAGATTTGACAACATTGCAATTGGCTGGCGCGCTCGGCTTGTCGTTCGCTCGCTCCCGTTCGATCATTCTATTTGTTTGGACGCCTGCGAATTTCAAATAATGCGCTATGTCGGGACCGCAACGTTGCCGCTATCACGCATATGGAGGATAAGTTAGTCAACGACAGCAGTTTGAAGGAGAATTATTATAAATTATGTATCTTACAAGTACCTAATCGATTTCCACAAGCTGTCCTATTTATACAAGTTGCTGTGGAAACTGTTCGTCAATTGTTGCACATTCTAAGTGGAAAGACCAAAAAAATCTGCATTCTCATAAGACTGAACTAAATCGTGAAAAATTATTTTATTAACATCTCGTCTCTTAGGTATCCAAACTAGTCATAATTATTTTTGAGGATTTTCTTCATATTAATAAGCTTATATTAATTTTTTTATGAATATTTGTTCGTCAATTCCAAATTATTACTTGAAAAGTGAGAAATCAATTCTTCTTGAAAAATTTTAAAAAGTGGATATAGTTTTGCATCTATACCCCTCTGTTAGAGTTATAACAGAATAATTTAAAATCATCCACAAATAATAAAAATTCACACACACTCCTGAATATCATTTAGAATGATATTAAATAACAGAAGCCCCCAAACGGGAGTCTTGAGGCACAACTGACACCAAAAATAAAAATCCATTCAATAAAAACAATTTGTCTTTTCCTGTTCGACGGTCCATAAATCTGCAGGAAGAAAGCGGAGGAATTTTTTACAAGAAAAATCACCTCAATTTTTTCACACTTATTTATATACATTATATGTAAATAAAATTGACATGGAATCCAGCCTCCCAGACATTTGACAAGTAGTAATTTTATATCAACAAATTTACAAATTTAACTCTGTTGACCATTTTGATATGAATCCATATTGTTGATCAGAAACAGAAGAAGTGAAGTTAAAATCCCAAACCAAATACGTTCGAATAACACTGAAGATGCTTATGAGACAATAATTGTTAATAAGAAGGGTTTTAAAAAAATGAGATTAAATTTTAGTTTCCAAAAACTAAGAAAAATATGAGAAGAAAACATTTGTCTGCTATTTTTTATTTTATCATAGTTTATATACTTGTATCATCCTGTTTTTGTAGTATGTTTCCTCAGTTTGATATATGTATAAATGCTAAATGAAAGCAAGGGTTAAGTGGTAGAGCACACGTAGTGTGAACTTCCCCTTGGGATTTCCGATATATTTTGTTTTTTTTTTTCATATCTTGTTACATGTTCTTTGGTTTGGAAATAAAGACATTATTATTATTATTTACTAAAAAAAAATTGGAAGGTCATTCGTTTACATTGCTCACAGTCACTGTAGCATCTTACGGGATAGTATAAGTGTGAAATTTCATTTCATATCTTGACCATTTTAACAGCTAAGGCCGCAATGACATACTGAAGAACCAAATTTCGTCAAATTTGTAGCTGAAACAATCCACATATTTTGTTTCTTATCATATATGCTTCATTAAATTTCTTCAGACCACTGGATTTTCAATTGTCTAAACTCAATTAATTTGTGAAACAACGCAATTACATGAAACAGAGTACCTATGTGGTATTGCATGAAACATATATACGAAACAGACAACGATGTCTTATTTCAGAAATGTGAGTCTGAACCACCTCGTTTAAATAGCTAGGTTAAATGTTAGTGAGACAAGTTTCCTGTTTCGTGCAACAAGTCTCAGGAAATTTGTTCCTTCGGTATGCCATCTGCCCAAGAGTTGGGACTTGGCATGTTAGATTCATCTCCTTGATGAATGACAGTTATCTGCAAGAAACAATTCTATAACCGTATCCTTGCCAAAAGTCGTTCATCCAGTTTATTTTTTGAGAATGTCGAACTGAGCAAAATTTGAAATTTTCCACTATCTTGTTTCCTAATATCTTCCTGAAAAAAATAAAAAAAGAAATAACTGTGTCCTCAACCTTTTCTATAAATAAAATTTAATAAGCTCTAGGCATATTTTGCTATTAATTCCTATGCTTATTAGCTGATAAATTTAAAACAAAACCCAACCAAAACACTCACTTTTAGGTTTATGTCCACACCAACACCTCGTCTGTACAATATTTTAATTCATTAGTTCTAAACTAGCTTATTAAGTTAAAAACAAAAAAACAAATAATAAAAATCAAGACTCGTACATGCACTACAAACAGTGTTGAGTGTCAGTCAGAGTGAAAAAAGCCAAGTAGGTTTAACTGGGAGGGGAGAACACCCACCATCTGATTCGTTTGTGCCGCGTAGAAACTTTGCAAAGTTGTGGATCTTATATCTGGCTTTGGCAGCACAGCGTCTCTGGTTGTTTACTAATCCAGTAACGCACTGAACCAGTTCGCCATTATCTGCATAAAATCACACGATTACAAATGCTTGAAAAGCTAAAGGAACGGTGCAATCGTTATTCTGGAATTGTCTAATAGTAAACAGTTTATTTATAATTACAGATTATTTAACTTATGTTACCTTTTTCTTTATATAGCGACATAAACAGGGTGAATCACAGAGTGCGTACATATTTTTTAACTGTGAGTATAATTCGTGATGTAAATTAATACAGTGGAAGTCATTTATGAAAATTACAAGTATTTAAGGCAATATTAACTTTTTTAAAACCACCTATGCACATGTACATTTTGGGAACCACTTATCACCACCATATCACCAAATTGTGAGTTTGCCCGAATCTCTTAGTTATATTAGAAGTTAAATCTAAATTTAATGTAATGGATTCTAGTTTAAAAAAATTGTAACTGGTTTTAAGAGTGTGTTAAAGTCAATCTTAACCCCAATTTCATCTTAATAATAAAGAAAATTCTGAACGATTCAGAATTTAATAATATTTAAAATTGCTTATTTAAAACACAAACGTGTTAAATTGGCAAAAATTAAATTTCTGAATAAACACTTCTTTATTTATTGAGAAATACAGAATGTAATTAATACACATATTCTAGTACAAAAAATCGATGTTTTTTAATGTAGAAATAAATTTGCATGTATTATTACAATGAATTTAAAAAATCATTTAATAACGAAAATGGAAAATAAGAATAACGAGAAACTTATTTCTTAACAATATCCATCAGGAACTTCAAAAAATAAAAACAGGTATGATTTATGCCTTCTACTGAAAATGCAAATTCTAATGTCCACTCAGATGTTACAGCAAAAACAAACCAATAACCAAAGGACACATATCTGGTACAATTAAACAACAGTATTAAGTAAATCTTTATATGCAGTTTTAAGTGTTTTAACTTATTGAAAACGAAAAAGACACTTTGACCGAACCATTATAAAAAAAGTTACCCTCAGATTATCAACTTCTGCCTGTGGGTTTCTAGAATATACAAAAAATAATAATAACGCTTTATAGATCCCACCATCTAGAAATTATATAAAGACGTGGTGTCTGATTGTACAAGCTAAGCTACCCGATAGGTCAAAATAAAAACTGACACAAGATTTAAATTTCGAAGCTGTTGGAAATCAAGGCCCTTAGATCTCACAAATAACGCATTTATCATTAGCAATTATTACATTTTATTTATTTTATTACCGCATTATAATTGTCACACTTTCTTAGATCTGTCGACAATAGCACATACCTTGACCTTGATAGGTTAATGTATGATTTTTATGCATATGTAGCAAGATATTGGAACTTGGAATATTGGAATAGAAGACATGTTATGCCCAATAATTTAAGATACAAAGGTAAGCATTGGATCCTCCATGGTTGAACAGTGACGCTTCTTAATGATTAGTGTTGTGAAGACGAGAACATTCTCAACGTGCATTCAAGAAAAAGCCACTGAGTGCAAACTTTTCCTGAATTTTTTTAAATTTTGCATCACTTGAGTGGCATGCATCCACTTTAATGACTACTTTTTTAAATATTGCTTTTATAAATATTGAAATCCTTAAAATCTTTTTTTAGAAAATTGGAGATTACTCAGCATTATCACAGAAATGTTAAAAAGTATACTTTGAATTTCTTAATTTTATAACAATGTAAATATAAATTTACAAGTCCTTGCATTTATGTCCATTTATTCTCGTTTGTACTTGAAGCTAATTAAAAAAAATAATTTTAGAACATTTTGCAACATTAACGATGAGCACTTGAACTATTTGGAAGGAATACTGATAATTAGAATGTTTCGTATATATTTATTAATAAGAAGTACCTACACATAATTTTCATCTGAATAGTCCTAACCATATACAGAATATGTTAAGAATGATTAGAAATGATTAATTTACGAGAAACTGACCCCCACACAAACACAAAAGTCAGCACATCACTGGTTCACATAGTAAACATATAAAATCTATCTACAACAAATTCAAATAAAAAATAAATTGATAATGAACTTGAAGTGTGTTTCGATTTTGCACAAATATTTAAAAAAAATAAAAACTTCCTAATAGTAGGAGACAATTTTTGAAACACTGACTTATTTACCGGAATTCGTAATGCTCAATATTAGGTTCATAAGCTAGATGTAACTAATCCCAGACAGTACTGCCGAAAAATCATTGCTAGATGGAAATAGCAAGGGAAGGAAGAAGTTATAAATGTTAACAAATTTCTTTGATATACCATTTAGAAAAATGCTTGTTTATTTAACTTCTATCTCCATTTCATATAAAATGGTAAATTTTAAAGAGGTTCGATAGATCTCTTGCGGGGCAGGCAGTGCGGGAGGGAAGCCTATGCTTAATACACGGGCATTTCGTTGTAGTACCAACCTTACATAAAACAATTTAAGAGAACTAAATATAATATATGCAAATGAAATTTATACAACAAATATTAGCTCGCATATATTTTTCGTGTTTAATGCATGGCAATTAACTTTTTATTTATTCATTAAGAGCTTGTAAAACTATGGGTGAAATCTGGCAACATTGCACATTAGTAAGGCGTGGTGGTCAACTGTGCTTAGCGTGTATATCGTAAACATGACTGAACATCCAAGATACAAAGGAAAGTAATGACAAAACATCTATACTGTTCGTTTTGCAAAGATCCTTTTAATTTTTGTTTCAAATTGTTATTAGGTATATTGCATTAGATCACGAAAAATGTATTTAATATTAATTATTACTACATATGTTTTGGACTGGAATAATTTTATAGTCTATAATCAAGCTATTCAAATATAGCGCGTCAGTGGAAGCGTTAAATACAACGTTGCCATATTTTCTTTCATTGGATCACGTTTGCTCAACTTTGTCAAAACGTTATCCATTTACTAAGTGCATATTTTTATTGTTTCAAAATGTTTAGTAATATTTAATTATTTAATTACACTTTTATTTTCCCGATCCTAACCATTTTTAAGAGCAATATTTACGTTTGATTAAAGTTTTTTCCCAACTCCCATAAGAGCCTGTGTATAAGAGCATAATTTTTAATATCACTTTTCAAAAAAAAATAAGTTGTGCAATTGATCTGATTTTTTTACACGAGGCAGTTTGCATATTTATTAACAGATTTCAGTTGCTTTGAAAACTTTCTTACCATTTTCTTTTCGGTATCGAATCTCCTTAAGAGTTTATTTACACGCACAACACACAAACAAATACTATTAATTACATGTTTTACACAGTAAACTGTGCCACTGTTTAAAACATACACGCACATTTGAGATTCACCCTGTATAGAACATTGCAGTATACTACTAGTCTTCAAATTCATTAAAAATATACAAGGTATTCAGTTACTAAACACCACAAATTTATTCCATGATTAAAATTAAGGGGATTAATTCAAATAAAATGTTGAAAATTTTATTTTGAGACAGTGTTGAAGTTTAATAAATTAAACTATTTTCAGCACTGTCTAGGGGACACATTAAGAGTTTTATTTTAATTTGACATGGAGAATACTAACATACCAACATCATTCATTATTTAGGGACTTATATTTGAGGGGTGATCCACTGGCCGGAAGCAGTGTGTACATTTTGATCTGAATACAGCGGGAATACATTGAAATAACCCAGAATATGACGGAAAACATAGAACAACTTGGAATATAATGGATTATTCCAGTATACTAGCGGATTACATGGATGATGGATACTCAACAAAACATACCTAGGCACAATATTAAGAAATATTTTTACTATGGTGTATACGGAACACTTTGAAATGGCGGAATAACTTGGAATATATTATGAATTAATTTGTGTTCAGTAAGTGTTTTTACTGAACAGTCTCTTACCGAAAATCATCGCCATGATAAATTTGTAATTTTTGACTTTACGAAAAAGATTTACCACAAAAGTTACTTATATAATTCTTTGATGGCCTCAAAAATGTATTGTAGAAAAAGTGATTAAACCCTACATTTTTTAAGTCTGTTAAGTTTTCTGATTTCAAAACTGTAAATATAATAATCATCAGTTTTTGTGTTAACAGTTTTTCCTAGATCAGATTTTTTTTTAGTAATTACGACACTATGGCCATTATTAAATTTAAATTATATTATAGTCAAACAAACTGATAACAGCTAAATTCAATAATTCAAATATGTTTAAAAAAATTCTATGTATGTATATATGATATGTTTCCATTTAATGTTGTAACAACTTCATATATCTTACTCTTGTATATGTGGGCTGTAAGTGCAATCTAATTAGTTCCTACTAATGAATTATAAAGATGTTACATTGTATACCCTGTATATGAACAATTTTTTAAATTTGTTTTAATTTAAATGTTATAAAAGTATTTTTGTTACTAAAATATAGTGAATTTAAGCAATTAGATGATTATGTAATTAAATTAGAAATCAATTTTTCTCTGAAATGTCGCATTTCAACGACCCTACAAGTGTACCTTTTATTCTTAAAAATTAGTCAAATACACACACACACAAATATGTAATTTTATCAGCTTTACATAGTGGCATAACAATTATTTCTTATAAGAGGACCCACAGAATGCGATTTGCATTTGATTTGATATTGGAGGTCCGTGTTAGTGCTCTCTATATCAAATTACAAATCAATTATTGCTTAAAGAGTTTTTGAGATATGCCTTAATTTTTTTAACATACAAAACTTTATTTGACTCTCCTTAATTTTCATCGTAGAATATATTGGTGATATTTGGTTGACTACTAATTGAACATGTTGTCTAAATTACTCTCCATGAAACCAATTTATTACAAAATAGTTTTAATAAAAAATTGGATTGGAGCTCCAAAAATTGTTTCTTCTACAATTTTTGCAAGAAAAATTATACACCTGAATTTAAATAATCACCGAATATTATGAAAAAAAGATTTACTGAAATATTTTAACCAAAAAAACAATTTCTAATTAAAAAAAGTAGTTTTCATCTCCCATACTTTTTTACTAATCTACAATACACCCAAATATTTTTTTCTACAATTTTGAATTATAAATAAAATACTAATTCCTATCAATTTCTAAAGTATTTACTTATATAAGAGTAACTAATTTATACAGAGGGCCTGTTTTTCAAACCACACCATAGGAGACTTTGTTACCATAAGAAAAATTACGACCAATTTAATTTATGACAGAAAAATACCAGCGACTTTTTCTCTTATGGAAACCACATTGGATTCTTTTAGTGCATTTTTTTTATTGCAATGATGATACGTGATAAGGTTTACTTTTTAGGTTTTGCTGAAATACCAAATTATCTATTTTTACAAAGTATGTTTTGAAATTAAAATATCCAGTTATTACTCCAATTGAAATTTTGGCAGTTCAATAAAAATTTACTTATTTGCTCTCAGTGCTAGATTCGATATCAAATAATAAAAGACGGAAATATAAGTGCGCACTGAATGAAAGTGTGCAAATAAGTTTAAAATGCTGTTAAATAACTAAAAACACAAAACAGCATTTTTAATTTTCTAAACTTTAAACTTGTCGGTGAAAATTTCACAAATCGCGAATGCACTCGTCTTCTGGCGGAGGCAGTGACACTAGCAGAACAAGGTATTCATTTTTTTTACGTGCAGGTCCTTTGTTGTTATCGCTAATAGTATAAGACATTTTATTGTATTTTATATAAGAGTATTAAACGTTGAAACCAAATGTAAATACGAACGCCAAGATCAAAATTAAATTAAAATTACCTTGTCTCACAGGTTACCGCTTTCGCTACTTGGTGCGCTTGCATCTTAAAATTTATTAAAACTGTCAAAATATTGTATGCATTTCGTACGATAAGTTTGCAATGACGTCAAAGTACAGAACGGTACCGTGTTGCCAGGTTGTAAATCTTATTGGCGACTCCACGGCGGCTATTTAACAAGAAAGACCTGATCAGCGAAACGAAATTCTATTGCAACATGACAATGCACGACCCGCCTTATCTCCGGATCCCATACCTTTTGATTTTCACCACTTCCGCCCTTTGTCAAACTCCTTACGTGGTGTTTGTTTTACAAATGACAATGAGTTAAGAGATTGGTTGGGTGAGTTTTTCGAGTCAAAATCGGAGGATTTATACAGAAGAGGCATCAAGAAATTTGTTGAACATTGGGAGGTCATAAGTAACGATGAAAAATACATCACTATTGAAACACAGCCCCACAAAAAAAAAGAGTGGAATATCCGGAGACAAGACCCTGGTATCTATATGTTTTCACTGAATCCGAATCCAGTGTCCGTTTGACCCGATTAGCTCTGAGTTGACATTTGACCATGTACTGACCTTCAACCAGAGTTAACCAGGTCAAACGGACCCCAAATTCGGATTCAGCGACCCCAAAAACTTTTGGATACATTGGTTTACTTTGTTACCAATTGATTCCCTACATTTGACCTTGAATTGACCTTGATGCAGACCTGATCGGCTCAAATGGACACCGGATTTGGATTCACCAACCCCAAAAACGTATAAAAATGTAGGTTTACTTTGTGTGCAATTGATTCTCTGCATTTGACCTTGAACTGACCTTAACGTAGACCTGATAGGATCAAATGGACACTGGATTTGGATTCACCGACCCCAAAAAATGTATAGATGTTAGTTTACTTTGAAGGCAATCGAATCTCTACGTTTGACCTTGAGCTGACCTTAACGCAGACTTGATCGGATGAAACAGATATCGGATTCAGATTTACCGATCCCAAAAACGTATAGATACTCGTATGTATGGTTACTTTGTTGGTAATTGATTCTCTACATTTGACCTTCAAATGACCTTCAACCAGAGCTAATCGAGTGAAACGGACCGGATTCGGATTCAGTGACCCCAAAAACATATAGATACCAGGGTCTTGTCTTTCGGATATTCCACTTTTTTTTTGTGGGGCTGTGTTATTGTAGTAAAAAATCAAACATTTTAAATTAAAAAAAAACTGACTTTATTCCCCAACTCAATAGTTTCATTTCAAAGCATTGTTAATAAAGGGGATAAGGTAATTTAATATTTCAGCAAACTGTAAATAAAAAATGCAAGAAATTAGTACAACAATAAGAAAAAAAAGATGTATTGCTTCTCCATCCAGATAGATTTTAATAATGTCTGACAAGTAGAAGGTAAGGTAGTCGGATTTTTGTAGTTTTTGATATTTATGGTACGTGTAGTTTGGACCTTGAATAAGAATTTTCCGAAGTAGTTCGACGCAACATTCATAAATTACCGAGATAATCGATTTTGAAGTTTTTCCTGACAGCTAAGTCCACTAGATGTGACACATTCTTCAACTGGGAGCGTGGCCTAATTGGTAGCGTTAGGGACTGATAGTCATGAGATCGCAGGTTCGAGTCCGTCGCGTGACATTACTTTTTTTTTTCAAAACACACCATATGGTTTTTTATTATTTTTTTCATCTCGAAAATTATGAACAAACGAAATATTATAATAAATACTTATGGTATCTATCATAAAAAAATGGGAAGCAGACATTTTTTAAGCATCTAGCTTCCCTTCTTTTTCTTTTTCTGATCTCGAAAATTATGAACAAACGAAATATTATGAGAACTGTATGTAGGAATATTCTTCAAGTGTTTAATTAACATTTTGAGCTAGGTTATGTGGGTTGTCCACTGTGTTTAAAAAAACCGCTTACAGAACACACCTGCTAGGGCATAAAAAGTTTCGGTACATTCCACAAAGGGTAGAGAAGCATCGAAACTGTGTGATGAAAGAACAATCTTTCAAAATGTTTACGAAATTTGCTTCGACGTCGATATTTTGAAAACAAAATGCGTCTGTAAAAACATAACATTTACAGGACATGCTAGATGCTTAAAAATGTTTCTATGATAACTATCACACTGCGTAAAATGTCAAATACTAAAAATAAAATAAAAAACCTACCTGACCTCGTTTGTTTTTTTTAAAAAAACTATTGTTAATTCATAATAAATATTGTTTATCAACCAATTGTACATTTTAATGAAATATTTGAAGAATATTCCTACATATACATAAGTATTTATTATAATATTTCGTTTGTTCATAATTTTCGAGATGAAAAAAATAATAAAAAACCATGATGCGTTTTGAAGAAAATAAAGAAACGTCTCACGCGACGGACTCGAACCAGCGATCTCATGACTGTCAGTCCCGAACACTACCAATTAGGCCACGCTCCCAGTTGAAGAATGTGTCACAATCACATCCAGTGTATTTAGCTGTCAGGTAAAACTTCAAAATCGATTATCTCGGTAATTTATGAACGTTGCGTCGAACTACTTCGGAAAATTCTTATTCAAGGTCCAAACTACAAGTACCATAAATATAAAAAATTACAAAAATCCGACTACCTTACCTTCTCCTTGTGAGTTTAAGTCCACTTATTTTGGTTTTCGATAAAACAAGAACAAGAATCGAGACGTACAGTTGTTCATTAATGACTTAAAAATGAAAAGAAATAGATTAAGTTTTTCTTCGGCAATTTAATTTTCATTTGTTTAACCTGGTGTACTCTATGATAACTGTAACCCTATGTGTGGTTCAAAAAATGGTCTTCTGCTGAAAGATATGACTACAAATTAAAAAAAAAAAGACGGCTACCTAAAAATAATTTGTATTTTCAAGTAAATGTTGCATGCATATATAAATAAAAACTCACCAGATTCTCTGTATCTGTCTTTAGTTTCTTTACAGGAATAACACAACCATGAGCCTCTAGGAGCCCGCCTTAGAGGGGGCACACAGCATTCTATATGATAGTTCAAGGAACACTTTTCGCACGTTAACAGTTCTCCACCCGATCCACACATCTTACAGAGTTCAACCTTGATATCCCTGCAAGAAAATAAGGGCATCAGTGAACAACTTGTTTTTATATTCACATAGTTAAACAACTGGTCAACTAAATGGCGGCACTACAAAAAGTCCAATATCTTTATAGCAAAAACATGGTGTTTTTTTTAATGAAACTTCCCGCAGTTTACCTATTAGTGTCTAAGTAAGTTTCATGTTACTAAACCAGCCTCGAGAATCAAATATTTGTTGTATACAAAGCAAAAACCACTGCTCCCTGCTAGGTGATGGCCTGGCAACTAGATCACGTCGGATATGAGTGCTCCAATCCTATGATTTAGCAGACAACACCCCAGCAAATAGTAACACTTGAATTCATATTCATATCAATTATAACCTAAGTGTGACACAAAAGGCGGATTTGTCAAAATCTTTGAGAAAAAAGATTTAAAAATAAGTGATAAAGGATCCTATTTAGATAACCAAATTCATGAAACATACCATAACAAAAAAATGAATATAAATTGTCTTACCCATTTTGCTCCTCCTCATCCACGCCTCCATCAATCTCCTCCTCACTTTCCTCCTCCGCCATTTCATTCTCTTCACCGCTACCGCCGCCATCCCCGTCCTCCTCCTCCTCTTCCACATCTTCATCCCTAAATATCCTGCGCTTCTTCTGTGGCATAGGTTCGGGACTCAGAAGTTTGGCTTCCTTCTCTTTTTCCCTCTTACATCTATCACAGAACCAGTCGCCTTTGGGTACTACCTGAAATGACAAAAAAAAATAATGATAAATAAATACAAAAATTACTCTATATCAGTATCTTCGTTTATGTTCATAGAACTAATTAAGCATGTACCGTGTGATTTTAATAACCCACCGTCAGTTTTGGCTTTAAGCAGTAGAGATGATGTCCCAAATTGCAGTTATCACATAGCAGCATATTCTCAGAGTCCTTCTGCCTTCTACATATTCTGCACCTGGCCAATAGAGCCGACCGAGACCACATAACACACGAGTCCAATGTGCCGTAGTGGAGGAATACCTGGCTAAAACTTGTGGAAGCAAGGAGGGACTGCTCCCACTTATCCAGAACGTCCTTTTTTTTGTCATTTTTTGTTGCATCCGCATGACCTAAATGTAAAGAAAAATTGTTCCACTACAGACTGTCACCTTAACTCTCTTATGTCAGTTAAGCAATTGAGCCCTAAAATGTGCAAATCAAAAAGAGATTACATCTGAAGTAAAGTGAGATGGAAATGCGGGCACCACATAGTCCATAGTAAAGGTACAATCATCCCAGTATTATGTCACCGCACAACCTATCTTCAGTTCCCAAATGAATTTGGTTTATCTGTACATGTTTACACGAACAGATTTATTATAATTATACTTTTAATGTCTGGATTAAAGTAGTTCCTATTTTTTATGTGAGGATTAGTGCAATCTCAATGTTTTTTCATATAAAGATCTGCATGTTATCAGCATTGTACAGGGTGTCCCGAAATTCATGCAACAAAATTTGGTCACAGATTCTTAAAACAAATTTAGGGTACCCATATTTTTTATTTTTGCCAAGTGGCCCCCTCTTTCGGAATTACAGCCCCCTGAAGTCCGCCCCTAAGAATAATCTTTTTTTTATATCTCAGAACCCTGTTGTACGAGGATCACTAAATTTGGTACATAGAGGTTTTATGACATGTGGAATATGATGGTGCTACGTTTTTTAGCGGGGAACCCTCTTAAGACAATTTTTCGTGGGCCCCCTTGTCTTTGGAGCCAAAAAAATTTGGTTGCATATTTAAATTTCTTAAAAATTATTAGTTCAATAGAAAGCCATTAAATTTAGAAACTTTTTTCGAGAAAAATGTCAAAATGTGATCGAATGTATATCCTGATTAGCCATTTTTCTAGCTAACTAAAAATTTTATTTAAAATCAAATTTGCAACCAATTTTTTCTTGTTCCAGAGACAAGGGGGCCCACAAAAAAGTGTCTTAAGGGGGTTTATCACCAAAAAGCATATCACTATGAGATTCCACATGTGATAACACCCCTGTGAACCAAATTTAGTGATTCTCGTACAACATGATTTTAAGATATAAAAAACTTCTTAGGGGCATATTTCAGTGGGCTGTAACTACGAAACAGGGGGCCAGTTGGCAAAAAGAAAAAATACCCTAAATTTGTCTTAAGAATCTATGACCAAATTTTGTTGCATGAATTTCGGAACATCCTGTATATCAAAATTAGCATAATCCCAACTATTCAGCTGTACATTATATATATTGGATGTCCCAAAATTCACGCAAGATTTGAATTTTGCGCCATTTGTGCGGTAAAGTGTTGCCAACGAAAAAAAAAGCATGACAGTTAAAGGTTATCAAAAATGAAACGCTACTTGAAAGAACAACACATTTTCATTGTTGAGCAATATTCTAAAAATAATGAAGGTCTGGCGAAGGTCTGGCAGCTACTCTGGTCGGAATAGTGATTTAACTTCATCAACTGTGAAGAGATTAATTAAAAAATTTAGGGAGACTGGATCAATCAGTGATCTTAAACACTCTGTCCTTCAACAAGTCGTTTAACACAAAACATCAAAGCAGTTTGTGAGTGTGTTGCCGAGTCCAGGAACATCAATTCGGCACTGTGGTCAAGAATTTTAATTTTGTGAAGCTCTCTACAGTGTATTCTCATGAAATATATTTGCGTCTTCATTACTAAAAAATTCAATTGACTCAAGAACGGAAGCCTACTGACCACGCACAGCAAAGAGAGTTTGTTGAATATGCTCATTTACATCTTGATGATTTTGTTAGTCGACAAAATTGTCACATTTTTTGAGGTTCAGAAGATCCAGGAGTAATTGTTGAGAAACAAATGTGCATTCACAACATGAACAAAGTATAATCGGACCATTCTTCAAATGTGGCTGATCAGACAATAAAGGAGAGAACGCATTAGGCGGTCGAGGTCCCGTCGCATCGCGGTCCGTGTTAGTCTCAATCGCGCGTGGTGCAGTTCCTTCCCAGGTTTTATAATGTATGCATTCGCACTAGACGTTCCCGAGCTTATCTCACTCGCATCGCGTTCTCCACCGATCTTTTCCAAAGAATTTCAGGAGACCACGACGCGATCGGGACGAGCTACCTCTTCCATATATCTCATTTTTTTAACTACTAAAACAATACCTCAACTATTTAAAGAGGAGGTCCAGCAGGATTGTGTATAATTGCCAAATGGGACTGATTTTGGAAAAGACTGCGATCAACTCAGCCCAGAACGGACCGCGATGCGATGGCATCGCGACCGCCTACTATGTTCTCTCATTAACAGTTAATGCTGCTCGCTATCGCAACATAATAATCCAGTTTTTTGTGCCTAAATGGCAAGATATGGATGTAGACGACATGTGGCTTCAACATGAAGGTGCCTGAGAAACCATTCAACTACGGCATTAGTCATTTCCTGGTTGTGTAATTTCCCGTTTTGGTGATCAAAATTGGCCGCCCATGCGATTTAACATCGTAGAGCGTTTCTCTTTGGGGTTTTTTTGAAGTCTAAGATTTATACCAACAAGTCCACGACCACCCACTCCCTGAAGGAGGAAATCGAGCACTGTATCAATGAAATTCAGTCGCTTTTATGGAAAATGCTCATGGACAATTTAGACAAAAGAGTGCTGAAGTGCCATCAAAGCAGTGGAGACTATTCTATACATAACTCTAACTGTATACTTTAAGAATCAATAAAAAATTTACAATTTTTAATTAAAAACCTGTTTTCCATCAAAATTACTTCTTGTGTGAATTTTGGGATACCCTTTAGTAATGTCGACTTATTATGCAAGCACAAATAAAAAAGAAATTTCATGAACCAGAGGGTAGATCTCGCTAGTCTTAGGTTTTTGGGGTTGCTGAAACTGAATATGACTATAAAAAATTATTTCAATTGCTCGTTTTCCCGCTAGCACCCCCTGAAGGGGGTTAAATTTTAAATTTTCGTACAAAATTAAGATGTATGCGTATTTGTTTTTTGTGACGCTGAAACCAAAAATGAATACAAAAAATGAATTTAACCCCTCTCTTATCCGCTAGCACCCCATTACCACCCCCTGAAGGGGGTTGAATTTTAAACTTTTGCACTTTTGTACAACATTAAGATGTTTATTTTTTTTGGGACGCTAAAACCGAATTATGATTTCTGTCCTAATCATAACCGTGTTTATTGTGCCTTTTGATATTTTGAACTCGACACCTTATTCCAGACAAGATATTTTAATTTCTTTTCCCTTTGCATTTTGCTTTCTCTTTGATTTTAATGTTTTTGCTCTCCACCGACCAGTCTTATTTACGTTTAAAAGATGAATCTAATTTTATGCCTTTGGAATATAATCGATTCCGTATCTACTTTTCACATCCACACGGTAAAGGTGGATAACAGTTTAACTGGCTTAGAAGATCGTTTGAAAGCAAGAGAGTTCGGTATCATAGGAAGAGGTAAATGCCGAATTATGAGAGGCAAGGGGACTCACTTTAATCAAGCACCCCGAACCGTGAGAGGCAAGTGGATCACGTTAATCAAGCACCCCGAATCGTGCGAGGCAAGAGGACTCACTTTAATCAAGCACCCTGAACCGTGAGAGGCAAGGGGACTCACTTTAATCAAGCACCCCAAATTATGAGAGGCAAGGGGACTCACGTTAATCAAGCACCCCGAATCGTGAGAGGCAAGGGGACTCACTTTAATCAAGCACCCTGAACCGTGAGAGGCAAGGGGACTCACTTTAACCAAGCACCTCAAATTGTGAGAGGCAAGGGGACTCACATTAATCAAGCACCACGAATCGAGAGAGGCAAGGGGACTCAATTTAATCATACACCACAAACTGTGAGAGGCAAGGGGATCACGTTAATCAAGCAGTCCGAATCGTGAGAGGCAAGGGGACTAACTTTAATCAAGCACCTCGAATCGTGAGAGGCAAGGGGATTCACTTTAATCAAGCACCCCAAACCGTGAGAGGCAAGGGGACTCATGTTAATCAAACACCCCAAAGGGAACAGAAACCTGCCACCTCCACGCCTTTGTCCCTGAGTTGCGCTAAGAGTAGAACCAAATCATAAATACATCTAAGAGCTGATATTTCTGATCGGTGAAGTATTGACATTTACAACATAAAAGCTGGAGGTACTCTTAAATTTGTCTAATTAACAGGACTTAGATCGTTGGAATTTTGAGCTTTGAGCCCATGAAAACTTTGGTTCTCCTCTTTTTTTCGAAAACGTTAGTGTAATTTACCGAGAGCCAACTTTCATATGGATCCTGCTGGTTCTCTTAAATGATTATAAAGGAGTGTAAGGGGGAAAACAAGTAAGTGCATATCATTTTTTGTAGTCATTTTTGGTTTCAGCGTTCCAAAAAACATAGAAATACGCATACATCTTAATTTTGTACGAAAATTTAAAATTTAACCCCCTTCAGGGAGTGCTAGCGGGAAAACGGGCAATTGAAATAATTTTTATGGTCATATTCGGCTTCAGTAATCCCAGAAACCTAAGAATAGTGGGGTCTACCCTCTGGTTTATGAATTTTTTTTGTGTGCCTGTGCTATTACTCGGGATTAGTATAATCCCTACTTAAAATGTCGAGATTATAAATTTTGACTTCACCATGTCCGCGTGTAAGATATAGTTATCGTTTAACACTTACCTAAAGGTTTCTTTAGGTATTTCTGATCGACAGCTTGCGCCACCTGTCCCAATGCAAGTGCCAAGCCACCAATTGCCTTTTGAAGCCTTTCAACTTGTACTAAGATCACATCATCACCTTCTCCATCCACCCCGTTCACTTCTACATCTAAGACGGTGCCCAGAAATCTACCAGGGTCCTGGTAATCTTTGAGTTCACTCTTGGGTAATTCCGGAGAACACGACCTGCTGTTCTTCCCCTTCTCCTTCCTCACCTTTATCAGTTTGCCGTTCTCTCCGTTCCTCATAATACTCCTATTCAGATCTTCGTAACGCTTTGACAAGAGGCAGTTGCGCCATTCATCCCTATTCTTAACAGCCAGACCACCAAGATTACCAGCATATATTTTCTCTTCCATCTCGAGGATGTTATCAACGAGGGCATTCTCCAAAACCTCCTCGGGAGCCATCTCAGAACCGTAGCCCAAGTTAGCATCTTCGTACCTGTCCTTACCCTTCTTTGCATTTTTCAGAGGCTTCTGCTCTTCGTCGATTTCTACATCAGGATTCAGAACACTTACGGGTGTCTGTGTAATAACGTTCATCAGACGGTCCTTGTCATTTATTATGACATGTAATAGTTCACTTTCTCTTACGCCACGCTTGTTTAGGCTGATTTCCAAGGCTTCCAACTGCTCCTTACTGTGAAAAAAGAACCATCTGTTCCTATTTAGATCTGTGGAATGTACAATACAGGTCGTAGGATCTGCGGAACACATCAATAATTCTGCACAACTTTCCGATTCGGCGCTGGAGGAAGAATTGGGAGAACCGTTGCCTTTTTTTAACGATTTAGAGGGTTCATTTTCTTTATCACTGGAATTCATCTCCTCGAACAGCACTTTCCGAACGTGCTTGAGCAACTGTTTTCGGTCAACGTTTACCAGTTCGGAGTTCTGTTTACAGATTTCTTGACGACACTCACCGGCGTATTTGTCTTCGGAATTTACAAATACAGCAGGCACAGAATCTAACCTAATATATTTACGGTACGCTCTGTCATAACTGAAACCAAAGATACAGAGTTTAGAACTATCTGGTCATGCAAAACGAAAACAAAACGATTCAAATACATTTTATAACAGAGTAAAATATTTCGGAAGTCACAATTGTATACAAAAAATTCAAATCTAGTACATTTAAAATTCTTTTTTAAAAATGTCGCTTTGAATAATAAACACTTCATTCAGGGTGTTCAATTACTGGGAGATTCTAAAGGCCAAAGTAGGGTGATCAAGTCAAATATACCTCTAACAGTTATAATAAAAACTTCTTTAATTTTGGCAATATTTTGACAACCATAACACCAATGAAGTTGAAAATTTCAGCAATGTTTTTTAGGATCAGAATTTTAAAATAGTATTCATACTGGCGGAGTATACGTAATTTTTTTACTTTGCTTTATATCTTCAATTTCAACCAAAAATAATTAGAACTTCACTAATTTTGCATAAAAATGGTATATTAATTTAAAAAACCAAATCTTTCCGAGATAAAAGCAATTTTTTTATATATACTTTAACAATTTTTGCCATATATAGTCTAATTTTAAACCGTCATAATATGGAGACCAAACAGAGGGAGAGTAGTAAAGATGAGAGAATACTACAGAAAATTAAAGTATTTTAAGCAAATTGACATTGGAGAAGTCTCATGTAATCTCACAATTCTAAGAAATAGCGCGAAAAAAAGTCCACGGACTTGGAAAAATTTTTTTCAGCTAAGCCATTGCATGAGCCAGATAGCTTGTTTATTCAGCTTCAATTTCTTTTTTTTTAAATTTCAATATGACCATTTTTCATTGTAATATCAGACTTTTAATGGAAAAGGATCCTTTTGTCTTCAATCATCGATATCTCGGCGACAAATGATCATACAGAGAATTGAAGGGTAGTTTTGAAAACTGGAATAAATTTCCTATAACATGCTGCCGCAACTTTTTGAAAAAATTTGCTTTTTTTCAACTTTTACACAAATTTTAAAAAACAGGAAAAAAGGGGTAATTATTAAAAGGGTAAAAAATTAAAGGGGCACATTTTTTGAACTTAAACACTTCATAATCATGATTAAAATCAGAGAAGAAAAAGGGTAGTTTTGAAAAAAACTATTTTTTAAGTTATTACAGACTGCACAAAAATTAATTAGAAATTTGTCTCAAAAAACGGTATGAATTGGGTTCAAAATCTGGTTTGGGTCATCAAATTAGTTTTAGTTTAATTAAAAGTTGATGAACAGAAGCATAGGACGGAAAAGCCTAATCGTGCTGGAAACAATTGGATTTTGTTTTCTTCAATGTCCAAAAAAACAAAAAAAAAAACAAAAATTTCAAAAATTTTTTGTTTTTTCATCAATTTAAACGTTATTTGCGGTAAAAATAAGGATAACTTACTAGTGAAGAAGACCAATTAAATCTGAAATGCAAATAGTTTTAAGCAAAAGCAGACTCACCCCATTACATTCTGTAAATCACAAATTGCTTTCATCAATTTGTCTGCTTTCCTCGCATTCTCTGCTCGTCTTTTATCCGCCTCTTTCTTCAGCTTCTCAACAGCCTCCTTCCGTGCCTCCGGCCTGTCCTTCATTTCCTTTTGAAGCTTCCATTTGCCCGTGGCATATTCCTGTTCCTTTTTCCTCTCAGCTGCTTGAGCCACTTTCAGGTCCATTTTCAACTGCTTAATCTTTTCTAATCTCTCTTCTACTATGTCCCGTACATCAGCATATGTCAGCAGCTGATTGGTCAAACAGGCCAAGATCTGCAATTTGTCGCTTATTGGAAGCTGAACTACATTATGAAAAGCTAAAGCTTTGAGTATATGAGGCTGGTGGAGACGTAGGTGCAGCCCTGGATCATCCTCACTGGTATAACCGCCACGTTGGGCATAACGCCATTTAGCACCTGTGTCGTTGATGCGGGCACCAGAAGAGAGCAGGTGTAGTCTCAATATTTCAGAAACAGTGACAGAATAGAGGGGAAGACGGCCTAGGGGGAGCCCTTGGTACTTGTTACTCCAACTGGAGGCAAGTGTGGCGAGACGGGTTGCTTCTGTCAAGCTGAGATTGTCAGGTAGTTCTTCTTCTTTGATATCTAAATATTAGGGATTTGGAAATATCAAATTCAGCTATTTTGGGAAAGATAAGAGATTTAAAAAAAAATTCTACAGTTTTGCTCTATATATAAGGGTCGCCTAAAGAAAATTCTAGAAGAACCAGCACTTACCTGTTGTGTTTTCAATAGAAGTTCTATATTGGGTAGATTCCTCATCTTGTAGATTGAAAAGTGCTGTCAAGAACATCTGAATGATATCAGTTAACGGTCCCGCCACCTCCTTTTCAATTAAAGCCCTCTCCATGATTTCGAGTGTGAAACCAGAGGGAAAGAAATCTTTAGTGGAAAGTAGCTTGGAGAAGGTCTCCACAAATTCCATGACCATCAGCATGTCCCCAAAATATTTGTCTGGTACTTTGGATTTAACTGGCATAGGTACAGGTAGTTTCTTGAAGAAAAACATCAATGGATATATTATTTATCTTACAATATTGAAAATTAAGAAAAATTTACCTTTTGATCCTCTAAATCCAAGTCATCTTTGATTTTATTCCACTCTTTAAGGTAACTTGCTATCTTCAAACTCTCCTCTTTTTGTTTTTTCTTCAATGCTAATTTCTCTTCCTCCTTCATCTGCCTCCATACCTTAAACTCCTCCTCTCGCTTCTTCATTTGCTCCAAAAGATTATACTTTTTCTGTTTTGCATCTAATTTATTTTCAATGTTGATGCTAGTCACAGTTGTATTATTTTTCATTAAGTACTTAGCCAAAGTCTCTTGTTTCTGTTTTTTGCCGTTAGGAATTTTCTCGAGTCTCTTCGATTTGTCGAAGTTCGGTAATGGTCCATCAAAAATCTGATCAAATTTCATCTTATTGATGCCGAAGTCCTCCAAAATAGGGGTCTTTATCACAAACATGCCTTTTTCATCCTGTTCAACATACTGTTTTAAGAATAGTTTGCTTTTCTCCCTATTAAAGACACCTTTCTTTCTTCGAATTTGGTTGCAGTCAACTATCATAATTTCACTGATGTCATTATCATCAGCATCGAGGTGTTCTATCTCATATTTGAATAAGTTTGCAGGGGGCCAGTAATGGCGATCTGAATTTGTGCTGAAATACCAAAAATTAAGTGATGTAGGAAATAAGACGAACATGGTAATCAAACAAAAAATTGAAATGAATTCAGTACTTATATCAGCTGTATTTCTTTTTAGTTTTCTCAAGTTGGCATACGAAAAATATGAACTTACAAATTAATTTTTATATAAAAACTATAAAATAAGGAAAAAGTGACAATATAAATAATTAGTAAGTATATTGCAAGATGACAATTTTTTTTTTTTTTTCAAAATGAGGTTCAAGTATAATGTTATATGCAAAAACTTATAAGAGATAATAGCTTCGTTTTTGCAGCAGTTGAGGACTGATTTGAAACTATCAGAGATGTTTGACTAATTGGTTTATTATCTTAAACTCGTTGAAAATATGTGACAACTTAAGTGACCGAGTATATCTGATAATTTAAAAACAGTTTGATAGAACTGCAGAAACAAACCTAATATTAAGACAGATCTGTGTGTGAAGTTGGCCAGCCAATGTTGGAATTTATTAAAAATTAATTACAAACACCCTGTCTAGTTAAGGGTAGATTTTCCAAAAAATTAGAATAGTTCTACTATTTCATGCAAACCGCTTCGCTCTAGCTGCTGAAGTTTCGGAGATATATCGAACTTAATTAATTTACCAGATATTTAAGAATTTCAAAATCAGCAGTTCTGGTCAAAATAGCAGCGGTTCTGTACTTGTACAAATGGTTTTACTATTTTTTGCTAACCACATCACTTTAGTTGTTGTAGTTGGGGAGATTTTGAATTTAATTCAATTTTGGACTTTTTATTGAACTTGAAAAGGGGAGTTCTAGAGAAAATGGCAACAGTTCTGCATTATGCTAAGGCAGTTCTATTTCGTGCAATCCAGAATGCTCTAGCTGCTCTAAATGCTGAGAAATCTGATGAATTTTGAAATGGGGACTTCTAGTGAAAATAGCAGCAGTTCTGCATTGTGCTTGAATAAGTTCTATTATTCCATGCAATCCACGATGCTCCAACTGATCGACATAGTTGCAAAGATATGGAATTTTACTTTAAAAAGTTTGTATGTGTTTCGAAATGACGGTTTCTTATGAAAATAGTAGCAGTACTGCGTTGTAATTGAACAGTTTTTCTACTCTTAGGCTTCATACAAAGTTATTTGAAAAATATGTTTATTTTAATGTTCTATATGCAGTTAAGAAATAATGAATAAAACTTTTTCTGATTTAGGATTAATAAATAAAAAAATATTAATTGGTTTCATACTTTATTTCTTTACATACCAATACATGTGACCAAACGACAGTTTGGCCACAAACTTTTTTACATTTTGATGACATCATTACAGTGACATTTGGTTTATAAAAAAGGTATTTTGAAAAAGCTGTAAGATAAAAATAGATGGATATCTGTACTAAGATATAGGTATGGTGTGTCCAGAGAAAATTAGGATCCTAATATGAAACGATTAGGAATATAGTAACAGATTTTATCTTTAGAACTCAATAATATACTATGCCAATTGAAAAGTATACAAAGAGTAAACGTTTTTTCTACATTTAGTGTTTACAAAGTGACCCCAGATCTTAACTATAAGTGCCAATGATAAAAAAATGTTAAAATTTGAACAGGTTGTGAAACAATTTAACAATACTGTGGAAACCAACTACTCCACAGGCTATATGCCTAGACTGAAATTTAAAAATAATTTAACTGCATTAAATATTTCAAATAAAATTACCAGTATCTCACTTTGTTGGAAGTGAAAGATGAACTTTAGCATATATGTACTGTCATTTATCACTGAAGAGGGGCAAAATAAATTTGGTTCATAAGAAAAAATTACGATACAGGCCAAAACATGACCTATTTTATTATTTTTCCTATCTGGGGTAATGGCCACTTACATATTTCTGTGAAAATAATCGGAACTGTTTATTATTGACAACATACATCGGTATATTACACACTGAGTAAATAGTCATATTCAAAATGGCAGTTGCAACATAGAATTTCTTGTATAGATGACTTTTGATATCTTAGTGCTGATAGTATTTTCAGCTCAACAAAACTTTTCACAAATACGATATTTTTTTACTGTCCCATCACAGCATAAATCAGAAAAAGTTTAAATATTTATTTTGATAGGTATAGTTCAGATGAGAAATTTTACAATTTCTTAAATGAAGCATCCTGTATCAACATGAGATATATATTAAATGAACCACTCAGCAATGATGTGAATACCACCTACCTTATTTATAGACCTAAATGTCGAGCTTCAACTTACTTCTTATTCAAACAACATGTCAAATTCAGAAGTGGTAAAACAAGCAAACAGGGAAACAAATGTGAAAATTAGGAAATGAAAAGATAAACAGAGAAGATAATCAAATTTCAATATAAAAAACTACTATCGCCTATGGACGAGACGATCCGAGTATGCCTTGTACCCCTGTAGGTATCACATCTTAAGAAAAAAATTGCTATTTGTTTTTTCCACATATATTTAACATATTTATGGAAAAACATGCAATTGTACATTTTCATTTATTAAAATTTTTAAATATTTATATATGTATTTTTATAACTAACACACCTATGTGACTCATGAAGGTGAAAGTAAAAATTCAGCAATATACAAATATGTCGACCAGTAGCAAGCAAGGTAGTATTAGTAAGAATGCAGAATCTCTATGCCATTGAGTACTCGGGAAATTAAGTGAATGTATTTGAATCTTAAAGGTATGTTTCAGAAAAAAGATGTCTACCATTTCCTTCAAAAAACAAGTCATTTTGGAGTAACTATTTTATGAAGATAAGTTTACCTTAGTGTTGAATAAATCTAAAATAATTCTGAAGCTTTTTCCTAATTTTAAATACAATATAATTATCAAAATTCCAAATAAAAACAATTTGCAGACATTTTATTATTCTAAAAAAAAAAGCATAAACAAAAGGAAAAGTTCTACACCAATTTTTTTAATTTTAATATTTGTACCAAAAAATTCTATAGTACTGTTATGCAAACTGATAAGTTTTGGAGTTATTTTCAATTTATTCAAGTGTTTAATAAGTGAGATTGGAAATGTTAGGGTGGCTGCAATGTGGTACAAGGTTGATTGTAAGCCGAGTTCTCTTTTATGTAATTTTATTCAAACAAAAAGTGACACATCCGTTGCCTTCTTAACTGCACTCTTTAATTATAAGAATATATATGTATTTGCATAATAGTATGAAACAAAAAGAGGCAGTGTCTATTTTTCTACTCTAAACACTTCAAATGGAATTTACCATAAAATCGTCTAAAGCGATCGGTAAATATCCATTTCAAAAACGAAAATAACCGTTCAACATTTACTGAGGTGTCAGGCTTATATCTAAAATAGTTTCCCATCAATCAATTTATATACCTATCTATGGTACCCTAATGCCGACCTGGCATGCCGGTGAGCAATCCAAGTTTTTTGCCGAGGGATGTTGGTTTTGCGTTTCATTGTGTTTGTGCGTGTAAGTAAGTTTGACGATTTGCTTGGTCGAGTGTATGGCACGTTTTTATGGCAGTCAGAAGCGTTGTATATTATGAGCATAGAGCGGCACATGGCTTGACCATCAATTTAGTTATGTATTGCCGCTTACTAGCATAATATAGATTACTACTGTTTATTAATTTGATTGTCACGACAAAGTTTCTGATGTTTAGAAATGTTCATTTTAAAATTTAAAAAATAATTTCTTGGTCTTTGAATACAAAATGTTTTTTTTTTCTTAGAAATACCAGGTAACTAAACGCATTTATCTAATTTCTAAAATACTCAGTGATAAACATTCTGTGATTTATGTATTTTAGATATTTAAATTTAATATTTTTTTTAAGTTTACACTTTAGCTTACTTTAGATTCATGGTGCATTAATGTTTTATTTTGCTCTAAAATTATGACGTACTTAGAAAACACCCTGAATATTAAATATACATTTATTAAAGAATTAAACAAACAAATTTTACTGGTCTTATGATTAAAATATAATAAATATATTGAATCATATTTTGTCAATTAGCATTACCCAACAATAAATACAATTTTTCTGACCTATTCAAAATATTAAATAATTTCTTGGTTTATCAAATTATCTACTAAATTATCCTTAATTTGTAACTAATACAAACTATACAAATGCATAGTTCATTTTGTATAACCGATCACATTCAAATTTAAAATATTTCATATATTCTATAAATGTGGAGGAAAATTTATCACTTTGTAATTCAGTAAATAAATATATTTACAAAAAATTGTTGCCAATGATTTTTTTTACTTATACTGGTAAATAACATAGAGACTAGCAGAGTTTAAAACCTAAATTATAAAAAGATATTAATGATCCATGTTAGTAAGTTGAACTAAGTAAAGCTATTTAAATCCCAAGCAAGGTCAAGGCAGAGAAGGGATAAATAAAATTTTATGAAATACATAAAATTCTATAGGAATATTTAGAACTAAGGTATATTTATTATAACTAATATATGAAAACTGTTATGTTATCAATTACCTCCATTAAATATTGTGCAATATTGTTTCCTGAACTATTTGGTTAATGGTTACTTAAATCTAAAAATTGCAACACACTTACCCATTTCTATTAATGCTCCCAAGTTGTTCCTCTGTAGGAGCAATTACTTGCAAAACGTGCGAGTCTTTCCATTTGTTCCCAGTAAAGGAGGTTTCTAAATTCTCTCCGATAAAATATCTGTCTTTTGCATACATGAAAACATCTTCTGCCATATCTCCAAAAGAAGATCTTTGAGTTTTACTGGCAAGGAATAATATAGGTATCCTCAGTTCAATGGGAAATTCTTTCAGGCTCTGTTTGGCATTTTCTTCGCTTTCTAAAGCCTCTTGATAGGTCAAATTAGATTTTCCTGTCATGGAACAGGTCCAAACCATTGAATTACATAAGAACATCCTCTCAGAGAACTCCCTAAAAATTTTAAAGCATCCAGGTAAAGAATGTGATTTTTTTACAGTGTAAGTTTTTATTTTGAAAAATTAACATAACCTAAAATTGTCCCAATTTGAATGTTGGCCCAGAAAATTTAACTAGGTATCAGAGGCCAATTAGGTATAGAATATAAAACCATGGCGTAGGTCGTCGCCAGTGAAATAAACCGTTAGAGAGATGATAGGAAGAAAGAGAAATTTTATTAGAATATAAAGCAAAATAAAATCTTTGATTGAGAATTAAAACTTACTCATAGTCTCGGAATATCTCGTTGGTAATCTCGCAATAGAAAACCTCTTCATCATCTCGAAGAAAATCCGGTATCGACTGTTTTTCAAACACCTTTTTCTTTAAGAGAGGCATTGTGAGGCATGGGTCTATTTGGAGGGAAAATCAACGTTGTTTTCTCATATAAGTATGGCTTCGTTTCGTTCTTTAAATGCTATAACACTTACAGCTAATCAACACAGAGCGTCTTAACTGCGAAAAAATCGTGTTTGGCCGCTATTTCCACAAATTAATTAATTTATTTTGTTAAAACGTCTTTACTCAAACGGAACTGACAGACGAACGTTGTCGGCTTCCAAACTGACTGCTAGCGCGCAAGCGCACAACGCAGGTGATTGTTGAAAAAAGGCGCGCGCACAGACAAACCGAAACGTAGCGTGCTGGATATTTAAAAAATCAGCGGTCCTAAACACTATTCAATGTAAATTATTTCTTCAATAATTACCTATAATACGTCACAGTATTTTCGCGAAGCAGTGTGCGACATTTATTATTTTAATTTGTAAAAACTAAATAAATTTTAATAAACTCAAAGCGTTATATTTGACTATTTTTTTGACAGACAATAATGCTTTAACATGAAAAAAAATAATAAATGTGTGGCAATGTATTTTAAATATAGAAACCAGTGACGAGAAGTAAATATAATAAAAATGTCATAGTGACAATTTATATATTCTGCTTAAATATAATTTCATATTCGTGTGATGGGAATTACAATATAATTATTAACAAACAAAGTTTGGTTTATACATATCGCTATTAAACTTTGTTTTTCTAGCCTATGACAATCATGCCATATAAATGATTTTAAATAAATTTTTTGCTCAGAAATCGATAATTTCAAGAAAAAATTACAAGAAGGCTTTGTTGTTTAAAATGAATCAGGCTATCTGAAATTAATAGTAAGATAGTGATGGTAGAAATAACAAAAAAATATATATGAAACAGTGTTAGGGGTAGCTTTTACAACTGTAGGGGAAAATCAGGTAATTGTTCAGTGCCTTCTCGATAATAGAAAATGTCTACCTAATTACATTTCTGTAACTTTCTTGATATTTCAGAAAAAAGTTAAAAACTATTTTGGCACCCTCTTAAAGCAGTTGTATCTTCACAGGGGATGTTCAAATTATATTTTTTTATATGAAATACGAAATACCCATACCTCATTTTTCCTTGAATTTTTTCGCACTCATTTATTTACATCCTGTATAGTGTAAATACATATATCTTTAGAATTGCAGGATATGATGGCTTTAAAGACTGATTTTCTAATAATGGTTAAATTAAAATATTTCAAAATACTACAGAAAACCTGAAGTTGATCATCATAAAACAAAATACAATTATAAAATACAAAATACAGTAAAGGAGGAATATGAAATAAAAAACACATTCACAAAACTTATAATTACATTTCCCTATTAACTGAACCATCTCTTGGTTGCTTAGTTTTGCCAATACCTCCCAGATTTTGCAGAATGCATATTAATCTTATTGTTAAACCTTTTTTTTAAACGCAATATAAGTTAATAAAGTTAATCATGCATGAATATTATTCTAGACAATTATCTCTTAGTGGCGATATTTAGCCATAGTAACGAAATAGGCTGTCGTAATATAACCAAAAAGTAACAAAAACAACATATTTATATATTTATTGATATACATTTTTGTTTACTATAACTTCATAAAATGCATAATTTCCAAAAGGCATTTATCAAAAAATTAAAATATTTTACTATTATACACTAATATAACCTGGTACAAAAAAATTAAAAGAAAATTTGATTTAACTAGCAAGCCAATCTGCCAAATAAGTACAAACTTTTGGATTAATAAGACCAGTATCTGCACAACGATTTGCAACTGGACATACACTACAAGTAGTTTTCACTAGCCCTGGCGAAGGCAAGAAACGATTCACTGCTCTGTAAAGATATGATCCGTTGGTAGCTACTATCCTCTCAGCATTATTATCCAAAACGACTGTATATAAAATACTCTCAATATCGTCAATAGACAAGGAGACTTTGCTTATTCCTAATTCGGATATGAACTTATGAACATCACTAGCAGTGGCATAACTTCTATTTCTTGCTAGTAGTGGTCCACCACTCATTTTATTAGCTTCCTCCCACTTTTGGACTAGAAACCGATGGCATTGTTGACTTAAGACATCGACAAATTCAGATTCAAAGTCTTGGTCTTGGTACCAAGCACCTCCTGTGACTGAGTTATCAGGTTCCAAATCATAAAGCATATAAACTTTTTTTTTACTAGCCTACGAAAAAAACATAATATAATAATAATACATACCGAGAAAGTATAAAAACGTTACCGAGACAGACTTAACAGCTTTAATAATTTTCTTCGTTTCTAAACTCTTAAGTACTTTATTTAATTGTGTCATGGTAAGATTAGACTTAAATCTGATATCTCTTATCCAAATGCCCTTGTTCCCGGCTTCCTCTATAATCTTGTAAACAATTTTTTCTTCACTGTCTGCTCCCTTATTCGTAGTTTTTTTTGATGGGTCTTTATACTTATAAAAGAGTTTGTCTTTGGTTTTAAACAAATCAAAAGTGCTGAAACCAAAAGTATACATAGAAAGTAAATAATAAATGGCAACTTGAAATTACCCATTCTTGAGACATTTGTTGATAATTAAAGTGATTTCAGGCAAAGGTACATCTTTCATGTGTTCCTTTATGTCGTCATTGGAAATACCTTCAGGTTGAGACTTAGCCAATTCTAATAATTGACTCTCAACGTTATTTCGGTCTCCATTCTGTGAAGACTCTTCACTCATTTTTATTGCAATTCTTATATAAAATGCAACAGAACCAATATCTTTTGAGGTTATTTTAAGGTTAATTTCTTCTTCTACTTCTTCTTCCTTATTCCTTNCGTTAACTCCGAAACAGGGGGCCAGTTGGCAAAAAGAAAAAATACGGGTCCCCTAAATGTGTCTTAAGAATCTATGACCAAATTTTGTTGCATGAATTTCGGAACATCCTGTATATCAAAATTAGCATAATCCGAACTATTCAGCTGTACATTATATATATTGGGTGTCCCAAAATTCACGCAAGATTTGAATTTTGCGCCATTTGTACGGTAAAGTGTTGCCAACAAAAAAAAAGCGTGACAGTTAAAGGTTATCAAAAATGAAACGCTACTGGAAAGAACAACACATTTTCATTGTTGAGCAATATTTTAAAAATAATGAAGGTCTGGCAGCTACTCTGGTCGGAATAGTGATTTAACTTCATCAACTGTGAAGAGATTAATTAAAAAATTTAGGGAGACTGGATCAATCAGTAATCTTAAACACTCTGTCCTTCAACAAGTCGTTTAACACAAAACATCCAAGCAGTTTGTAAGTGTGTTGCCGAGTCCAGGAACATCAATTCGGCACTGTGGTCAAGAATTTTAATTTTGTGAAGCTCTCTACAGTGTATTCTCATGAAATATATTTGCGTCTTCATTACTAAAAAATTCAATTGACTCAAGAACGGAAGCCTACTGACCACGCACAGCAAAGAGAGTTTGTTGAATATGCTGATTTTTTGAACAAAATCATCTTCAGTGATGAGGCTCATTTACATCTTGATGATTTTGTTAGTCGACAAAATTGTCACATTTTTTGAGGTTCAGAAGATCCAGGAGTAATTGTTGAGAAACAAATGTGCATTCACAACATGAACAAAGTATAATCGGACCATTCTTCAAATGTGGCTGATCAGACAATAAAGGAGAGAACGCATTAGGCGGTCGAGGTCCCGTCGCATCGCGGTCCGTGTTAGTCTCAATCGCGCGTGGTGCAGTTCCTTCCCAGGTTTTATAATGTATGCATTCGCACTAGACGTTCCCGAGCTTATCTCACTCGCATCGCGTTCTCCACCGATCTTTTCCAAAGAATTTCAGGAGACCACGACGCGATCGGGACGAGCTACCTCTTCCATATATCTCATTTTTTTAACTACTAAAACAATACCTCAACTATTTAAAGAGGAGGTCCAGCAGGATTGTGTATAATTGCCAAATGGGACTGATTTTGGAAAAGACTGCGATCAACTCAGCCCAGAACGGACCGCGATGCGATGGCATCGCGACCGCCTACTATGTTCTCTCATTAACAGTTAATGCTGCTCGCTATCGCAACATAATAATCCAGTTTTTTGTGCCTAAATGGCAAGATATGGATGTAGACGACATGTGGCTTCAACATGAAGGTGCCTGAGAAACCATTCAACTACGGCATTAGTCATTTCCTGGTTGTGTAATTTCCCGTTTTGGTGATCAAAATTGGCCGCCCATGCGATTTAACATCGTAGAGCGTTTCTCTTTGGGGTTTTTTTGAAGTCTAAGATTTATACCAACAAGTCCACGACCACCCACTCCCTGAAGGAGGAAATCGAGCACTGTATCAATGAAATTCAGTCGCTTTTATGGAAAATGCTCATGGACAATTTAGACAAAAGAGTGCTGAAGTGTCATCAAAGCAGTGGAGACTATTCTATACATAACTCTAACTGTATACTTTAAGAATCAATAAAAAATTTACAATTTTTAATTAAAAACCTGTTTTCCATCAAAATTACTTCTTGTGTGAATTTTGGGATACCCTTTAGTAATGTCGACTTATTATGCAAGCACAAATAAAAAAGAAATTTCATGAACCAGAGGGTAGATCTCGCTAGTCTTAGGTTTTTGGGGTTGCTGAAACTGAATATGACTATAAAAAATTATTTCAATTGCCCGTTTTCCCGCTAGCACCCCCTGAAGGGGGTTAAATTTTAAATTTTCGTACAAAATTAAGATGTATGCGTATTTGTTTTTTGTGACGCTGAAACCAAAAATGAATACAAAAAATGAATTTAACCCCTCTCTTATCCGCTAGCACCCCATTACCACCCCCTGAAGGGGGTTGAATTTTAAACTTTTGCACTTTTGTACAACATTAAGATGTTTATTTTTTTTGGGACGCTAAAACCGAATTATGATTTCTGTCCTAATCATAACCGTGTTTATTGTGCCTTTTGATATTTTGAACTCGACACCTTATTCCAGACAAGATATTTTAATTTCTTTTCCCTTTGCATTTTGCTTTCTCTTTGATTTTAATGTTTTTGCTCTCCACCGACCAGTCTTATTTACGTTTAAAAGATGAATCTAATTTTATGCCTTTGGAATATAATCGATTCCGTATCTACTTTTCACATCCACACGGTAAAGGTGGATAACAGTTTAACTGGCTTAGAAGATCGTTTGAAAGCAAGAGAGTTCGGTATCATAGGAAGAGGTAAATGCCGAATTATGAGAGGCAAGGGGACTCACTTTAATCAAGCACCCCGAACCGTGAGAGGCAAGTGGATCACGTTAATCAAGCACCCCGAATCGTGCGAGGCAAGAGGACTCACTTTAATCAAGCACCCTGAACCGTGAGAGGCAAGGGGACTCACTTTAATCAAGCACCACGAATAGAGAGAGACAAGGGGACTCGCTTTAATCAAACACCACAAACTGTGAGAGGCAAGGGGATCACGTTAATCAAGCAGTCCGAATCGTGAGAGGCAAGGGGACTAACTTTAATCAAGCACCTCGAATTGTGAGAGGCAAGGGGACTCATGTTAATCAAACACCCCAAAGGGAACAGAAACCTGCCACCTCCACGCCTTTGTCCCTGAGTTGCACTAAGAGTAGAACCAAATCATAAATACATCTAAGAGCTGATATTTCTGATCGGTGAAATATTGACATTTACAACATAAAAGCTGGAGGTACTCTTAAATTTGTCTAATTAACAGGACTTAGATCGTTGGAATTTTAAGCTTTGAGCCCATTAAAACTTTGGTTCTCCTCTTTTTTTCGAAAACGTTAGTGTAATTTACCGAGAGCCAACTTTCATTTGGATCCTGCTGGTTCACTTAAATGATTATAAAGGAGTGTAAGGGGGAAAACGAGTAAGTACATATCATTTTTTGTAGTCATTTTTGGTTTCAGCGTTCCAAAAAACATAGAAATACGCATACATCTTAATTTTGTACGAAAATTTAAAATTTAACCCCCTTCAGGGAGTGCTAGCGGGAAAACGGGCAATTGAAATAATTTTTATGGTCATATTCGGCTTCAGTAATCCCAGAAACCTAAGAATAGTGGGGTCTACCCTCTGGTTTATGAATTTTTTTTGTGTACCTGTGCTATTACTCGGGATTAGTATAATCCCTACTTAAAATGTCGAGATTATAAATTTTAACTTCACCATGTCCGCGTGTAAGATATAGTTATCGTTTAACACTTACCTAAAGGTTTCTTCAGGTATTTCTGATCGACAGCTTGCGCCACCTGTCCCAATGCAAGTGCCAAGCCACCAATTGCCTTTTGAAGCCTTTCAACTTGTACTAAGATCACATCATCACCTTCTCCATCCACCCCGTTCACTTCTACATCTAAGACGGTGCCCAGAAATCTACCAGGGTCCTGGTAATCTTTGAGTTCACTCTTGGGTAATTCCGGAGAACACGACCTGCTGTTCTTCCCCTTCTCCTTCCTCACCTTTATCAGTTTGCCGTTCTCTCCGTTCCTCATAATACTTCTATTCAGATCTTCGTAACGCTTTGACAAGAGGCAGTTGCGCCATTCATCCCTATTCTTAACAGCCAGACCACCTAGATTACCAGCATATATTTTCTCTTCCATCTCGAGGATGTTATCAACGAGGGCATTCTCCAAAACCTCCTCGGGAGCCATCTCAGAACCGTAGCCCAAGTTAGCATCTTCGTACCTGTCCTTACCCTTCTTTGCATTTTTCAGAGGCTTCTGCTCTTCGTCGATTTCTACATCAGGATTCAGAACACTTACAGGTGTCTGTGCAATAACGTTCATCAGACGGTCCTTGTCATTTATTATGACATGTAATAGTTCACTTTCTCTTACGCCACGCTTGTTTAGGCTGATTTCCAAGGCTTCCAACTGCTCCTTACTGTGAAAAAAGAACCATCTGTTCCTATTTAGATCTGTGGAATGTACAATACAGGTCGTAGGATCTGCGGAACACATCAATAATTCTGCACAACTTTCCGATTCGGCGCTGGAGGAAGAATTGGGAGAACCGTTGCCTTTTTTTAACGATTTAGAGGGTTCATTTTCTTTATCACTGGAATTCATCTCCTCGAACAGCACTTTCCGAACGTGCTTGAGCAACTGTTTTCGGTCAACGTTTACCAGTTCGGAGTTCTGTTTACAGATTTCTTGACGACACTCACCGGCGTATTTGTCTTCGGAATTTACAAATACAGCAGGCACAGAATCTAACCTAATATATTTACGGTACGCTCTGTCATAACTGAAACCAAAGATACAGTTTAGAACTATCTGGTCATGCAAAACGAAAACAAAACGATTCAAATACATTTTATAACAGAGTAAAATATTTCGGAAGTCACAATTGTATACAAAAAATTCAAATCTAGTACATTTAAAATTCTTTTTTAAAAATGTCGCTTTGAATAATAAACACTTCATTCAGGGTGTTCAATTACTGGGAGATTCTAAAGGCCAAAGTAGGGTGATCAAGTCAAATATACCTCAAACAGTTATAATAAAAACTTCTTTAATTTTGGCAATATTTTGACAACCATAACACCAATAAAGTTGAAAATTTCAGCAATGTTTTTTAGGATCAGAATTTTAAAATAGTATTCATACTGGCGGAGTATACGTAATTTTTTACTTTGCTTTATATCTTCAATTTCCACCAAAAATAATTAGAACTTCACTAATTTTGAATAAAAATAATAATATAATAATAATAATAATAATATCTCTACTCCTCATTCTAATTACGAGAATTAGCCCAGAAGTCGGAGACT